ACCAATGAGTATGAATTTACGTGCAATAATTGAATGACAATTTTAAACTGTTTTTTTTAAGATTAATAAATATAAATGCGTAAGAACCACGAAAACCCTTTCATACAAAACTTGTATCACTTCCGGTCATATAACAGCACAAGTTAAGGTGTAAATTTAAGCTTTAGGTAATTTAAAAACCCTTAACGGGAATACCACTAATGTGAAATAAAAATTAGCATCCATCATAATCAACAATTTTCATACATCTTACAAATAATTTTTATAACCAACTTTTTAACTCAACTAACTTTCAACTTTAATGCGACTTTGAATATGTACTAATGTATGTAGTACATACTAAATACATATGTATGTACATATACATATCTAAGTACATATATGTTCGTTTAAGGAACACTCGAACGTTGCTAACTCATTGTTTGCGTGATTTAGATTACACCAGTAAAAGTATCAAGTGGTTAATATAAAAAATCGCCATTTTAAGTACTATGCAAGATGTAGACATCCCTACATATGTATGTACAGTTGTCCACAAAATAATAGGAGTGGGATATTTTAACCTGTTTTGGCTATTTGTCTTTACTTTATTTAATGTTTCGTATTTTTTTGTAAAAGCCTAGCTGGTAATACAACAAACACCATATAAATTTACATTTTCAAGTTTGTACAAAAATTATAAAAATTCTGCAAATTTTCACCAAAATTTCAAACTATTTAACCAGAATCTTTAGAAAATATGTTGGTATGCAGTTTTGTAGCCCATTCAATTCTAGTATGAAGAAGTGCAAGTTTCAAGCTGCTAAAAAATTCCGTTGATTTTTGAGAATTTTTTCGGTTGAAGGTGTTTCACGTTTTTTCCATACAAAGTATGTTCGACAATTTTCTTTTATATGGGGACAGTGCCAGCAAAAAAAATTGCCAAAAATCAACGGAATTTTTTAGCAGCTTGAAACTTGCACTTCTTCAGACTAGAATTGAATGGGCTATAAAACTGCATACCAGAATTTTCTCTGAAGATTCTGATTAAAAAGTTTGATATTTTGGTGAAAATTTACAGAATTTTAATAATTTTTGTACAAAGGTTGAAATCTGAATTTATTCGTTGTTTGTTGTATACCCAGCTTGACTTTTGTATAAAAATAATAAACATTAAATAAACAAAAGAAAAATAGCAAAAACTGACCAAAATAACGCACTCCTATTATTTTGTATGTACATGTTTAGATAATTCTTGTTTTCCATGCTATATTTTACCATCATTAAGAATATCCATACATACATATGTATTAACAATAATAATGATTATCAATTATGAACATAAGTACTAGTAGATATGTATGTAAATATGTTTATAAAATTTAGGTTTCAATAAAAATACAGTCAATGTTGAAATGTATTTATCAACATGCACATTAGACTGCATCACCTAAAGAAGTTGCGGGTTTTCCGTCGGGATTACAAAATGTATTATATTTGATGACGTGCACCAAAATATTTCGGTAAAATATTAAGATTTACGTGAGCTGGACCGATTTGAAAATTCCTAAAAAAATTGAGTTTTTATGAATAAAAATGGTTTCTCAAAGAAGTCTTTGAAAACAAAATCACCTCAGATGACAAAACGGATTAAGATTAAATAAATAACATAAAAAAACCTTTTTAATATACAACGCTTTTATAAATGGACTAAAAAGTAGAAAAT